CCCCCACCTCCCTCCCCCGGCCGCTGCCAGAATGTCGGTCTAGCGCGCAGCCCACAGCCAGTTCAGTGCCGAGGCCGCAGCGCCCGCGTGCGGAGAGAGAGACAGAGAGGGGAGCTGTGGTGCGAGGCGCGCGCCGCATAGCAGAGGGCTTCGATCCTTCGCCTCCGCCCTCCCGTGCGCTGCGCGTGCGCGCCACGGCCGCTCCACAACAAACAACGATGACACACTGGTACGGAGCCCCGTCGGCACGCGCGTGTGCGTGCCCGACGCCTGACACGCCCCGCTGCCGCCCTGTGTCCGCGTGTCCGCACGGCCGCGCCCGCACAGGCGTGCGTTTGTTTTTGGTCCTGGCGGGCAGACCGCCGCTGCAGTGGGGAAGTGAGGTTATGTCGCTGTCGCTCTGTTCGGGACGGCCGCCGCGAGTGCGCGCACGCCGCTCTCCTCCGTGACAGTGCTGGTCTCGGCCACTCGGCCGTCGGGGAGCTGCGACGGGCTGCTTGTCACCCGTTCCTTATTTGGCGTTCGCGCTGTCCGCGGCCCGCGGCGGCGGCGGCCCGTCGCTTTTTCGAGAGGGACGACGGATTCCCGTGCGTCATGGTGGCCAACCTTGACCTTGGAAACGCGCTGGCCGCCGGGCAGGTGCCGCGGCACGTCCGGAGGAAGCCCCCAAAAGTGTCCCAATCATCGGCGCCGCACGCTCCGACTGAACGCGAATCAAATGACGAGGGGAATGGGGAAAATAACGAACGAAACAAAGTTGTAAGACTGACTTGATGCGCTAATCATTCGTCGCCTGCCGCCCAGTCCTGCGCTGCACTCACGTGCGCCCGGGTGTGTTTCTATGGACTCCCTGCTGCCATACACACGCACTAAAGTGCAGTCGTGGTTTCCCGAGGGGGCAATGACTCCCTCTTGATATGTCCACATGATTCCCAAAATACTTGATTCTCGGTTATTCCCGTCCACTTACATTCATACCTTGGGTTTGCTAGTGGGAGAAAACGCTTATTTCGACTAATTTGTACTAGTTCCACTAGTTCCCGCTTATCTTTCAGTGATTTCTGTTGATGTCGATTATTTTTTGTATCCTGAGGATTCCCAGCCACATGATAGGTTTTGCCCCCTCGTGGTTTCCCTTACACATGTCCTCAATCAGCCATCAGTCGCCACCATCAAACCCAATTCCTGGAAACGTCCTGCGCGCGTACGGTATCTCCCTCTCCCTGATCAACCGCCCCCCGCCCCGTCCTTATCTGAACCACTCAGCGCCGCCGCTGCGGGCCTATCACATTCGCGGTGCGGTGCAGTGCGAAAGTACCTGTGGACCCGCCGCGGGGCGCGCTGTGCCGGCGTAGCGTTTTAAATTCTGCCGCCACACCGATGCGACACTCGCAGCTCACTACTTGAATTTCCGCGCCTTTTTAAAGCTAACAGCAGAACTCGTTAAATACTATAAGGTCTTCATTTTTTTCTAAGGCACTTTGAGGCAAGAGTTAATAGACTTTCAGAGTCAGGACCTTCCGCAAAATGAGTAAAGCGCCTATTAAAATTGACGGTTTTCCCTTTTAGATTAGGGAAACAGGATCTCATCATTTTCTTCTTCGTGGCTGGAACATCCTCAAAAATCAGACGTTGTCTTCTTGCTTCACCGTGAGTAGCTGTTGTGCAAGGGCCCCGGCCTGTCCGCCGCCCGCCCCACGCCTGTCTAGGGCCCGGCCGTGTTCGCGTGGGTGCCCTTATCACAACCCCCTCTACTCGGTGACCCCGGGTAGGGCGCACCTCGAAAAAGTTTTGGTCCTGAGCACTAAACATTTTGTGCCGAGACAGAAAGTTTGGACGCACTAAGCAGTTTTGTCCTGCGGGCACCAAAGTTTTTGTCGCCGAGCTTCAAAATTTTGTTGCCACGCACAATAATTTTAGGGGCGGGGACTACCTTTATTGTGCCAGGAATAAAGTAGGAAGCATTAAGCCACCGTCTAGTGCCCGACAGAAAAAAAAAATTCTCGTTGCTGGGGTGCGGGCTCACTTGAGTGCTCCGGGCCAGAACCGAGCATCAGTTGGTACATCCGGCACGTCCTGTGGTCCTACCCCAGCTCTCGTCCACGCGTGTCAAGGCCCGCGTACCAACTGATGCTCGGTTCTGGCGTGGCCGAGGCCCTCGCACAGCATAGCACGCTGGTGGTCGCGCACCGTACAGCACCCCTCCTCCCGCAAACACTGGTTAGCGGGTCAACTGAAAGGCGAAATTAGCTTTAAAACACCTCATGTACTTGAGCAAGATCTGCGCTCCCATCTGTTCGACTTTTTTACGTAACTGAGTCACCGACCACGGCTGAAGTGCACTCTTGTTTTTCGATGTGAGTGCCTCGCGGCGAGGCATCATCCACTGCGTCAACTATCGACTAGTTTGAACGTCTCCACAAGGCGTTTAGGCGCCTCATGAAGATATTGGCTCCGAAGGGAAATCACTTGGGTTCGTTGCGTACGGGCTATTTCATGGTATTTCTCCTACGATTTCGGTTAGTTCACGGTTATTTCGGATAATTTTGGGGTATTGCGCGGTAATTCACAGTATTTCGAGGGCATTTCACAGTATTTCGTGGGTATTTCACGACTATTTCGAGGGTATTTCACGGTATTTCGGGGGTATTTCACGACTATTTCACTAACTATTTCGCGTCCATTTTGGGTCTATTTCGCTCTATATCGCATTTTTTTCGAACTATTTCGGGGAAAGGTGTACGAACTTTTTCGCAAGTGATTTCCCCTTCGATTAGCTCGCCTTTACTCATAGTGTATTACGCATGGTCACTCACTTGAGTCGTGAGTATGAAGCTATCTCAGATGACAGTTTGCGTAGGAGAGCCCTTTTGTTCTTCTTTACGTGTTAATCTGAAATTCCTTTATCAATCACTGACTTCCGTTGTCAAGACCCGCGAACACCTGTATCCTGTATCCCTGTATATAGCTCGTAACGCGACGCTTGCTTCATTTCTGCTTCTAGACTGACGGTCGATAGACGATGGGCTTCTTCCTGCAGCTGAAACTGCTGTTGTGGAAGAACCTGCAGATTCGGAAGCGAAACAAGGTAAGCCTCCAGTGCTTAACGCGTTGCGACTGTGTCCCCTCGTGGACGCGGCAAAACAATAAAAAAATAAAACATAAAGTCCCATTGCTAAATATATGGTTGCATTATGTCCCCATAGGTTCGACTGCTGCTCGAGATAATATGGCCGCTGTTCCTCTTTCTGATTCTGATGTGGGTGCGCACCCGCGGCCTCAAGGAAGTGCGACAGGAATGTGAGTTGCGCTGGAATACACTCGCTTTTGTACCTCTCGCTTCTGCTTCTGTTTCGGACTCCAAAACGGTACCTTCTACCTTTCCCCTTGGGTGAAGATAGCTAGGTGGTTGTGATTGTGGACCCAATAAACACCAAAGACACAGGATGACACAATACAGGGTGGTTCCACGTACTCCTTCTTTTATTTTTATTATACTGTTCCGGATGCAGACGTGGCGGGTGGAGCCATAAGGCCCCGTGGTCAGCGACGGTAGGCAAGCTCATGCAGCTCTACATGCGGTACAGAATAATCAAAACCAAAGAAGGGATCTGTGGACCACCTTGCATACTTGTCAATATTACGTCTTTAGTCGCGAAATAGTTAAAATAGACTTGCACTGCGCCATTTCAACGTCAAAATGACCCTAATGACCTGACGTTTTCTTGTTAAACCCAAACCATGCTCTCCCCGCAGGTCACTACATGGAGAAGGCCCTGCCCTCGGCAGGCCAGTTTGCTTTCTTCCACTCGCTCATCTGCAACGCCCCGAACCGGTGCCACTTTAACAACGGCACCTCTGGCCCGCCTTACGACCAATATCGGCCCAGGCCCAAGTGAGTTAAAGCCCGAGAGTCGTGTTGGATAAGTGTTAAAACTCTTTAGGGTGCTCCTACAATGCAGTCTTCAGTTAGCTTCACTTGGTCTTCACTTCACTTTGAGTGAATATTAAGTGAAGCTCAAGTGAAAACTAAGTAAAGTCAGCCTTTATAAAACCTGGCTTCACTTTGTCTTCACTTTTTACTCACTTCACTTCAAGCTGAAATGCAGAAGAATGCAAGGAACAATAAAACGAAGTCACTATGTTAAAGCATAGCGATTTCCGTTTATTTCTTCCCCACATTCTTATGCATTTGAGCGTTGTCGGAATACTTTATTTTAAGCAGCCATATAGGCCATAGTTATGCACAAAATTTGATTCGCAAACTATTGACAAATTGTACATAAGTGTGCAGAAATTGAAATTTGTGCATTGTTGGCAAAAAAATTATGCCTAGTTGTGCATGAAAATTTGAGCATCAACTATTGCTGCACAAAATCCTGCAAGTCTGATGCTCTACACACTGTAAAAGGTTTTAGTGTGTGGAATTTCGGTCATGGTTCAGAAGGTTCAGAAGCCTTGAACGATAACGGCGTGTTAGTCGGCGGGCATGGGAAGCGGAGCAGTGTGCCCATGGGCTTTCAGCTTTCATTGTCATCAGAAGGAGTGCAAACAGTCCGTCCATTATTCCGGTCGATGTCGTTCGGCTGATCGCCCCCGTGGCAGAATGTGTGCCGATAATAATAGTGCCTTGGGCGACTATCAAATCCGCGATCAAATCCCCTCCGCAACAGCATGCTACACCACACCCCATGCCCGCGCTCGAACTCACTACCCAGCCACAAAATCGAAAAAAAAAATGACATGTGTTCTTGCACTTGTGTTGAGAGTTACCCAAAACAGCGCTCTAACGTTCAAGAAAATCGAGAACGCGAAAATTGCACTACCAATATCAATAACACATTGGGGGGGGGGAGGGAGGGCAGTTACCTCTCCTGTGCGGAGCCATTCGACTGGGTCTGGGTCACTACTGTACAAAGACATGGCGTGCCATGAGGGAAATATAGTCACGGTATCGACCAACTGACCCTGACATCTAACAGGGCGGCGCCGGGCTCGGCGCAGGCTGACCGCTCGCGTGCTGACACGACCCGTCACCACCTCGTCACCCTCGAGTGCTTTGGGTCAGACGTTACCGGCGCCCTAACTTAGCCCTTTATCTCCCCATCCTAGGCTTCCACGTGTCGCTCGCGCGTAAATAGTGATATCTTACTCATGAATCACCTGTCTCCCTGCTCCACCTCACCCCCATGGCATTGGCATTCACCTTCAGTGCCCCTGGGTAGGGATTTTAATTTTTCAGAAAAGTATTTTTGAGATATTCTTCAAATTTGTGTTTTTTTCCCCTTGAAGTGTCATCTTTTGTCTAATTTTTCCAATTGTCTTTGAATAACTTACCAAGTTTTTCTTGGAAAATTTCGGCTTTTAAAATCTACCTACCCGAGGGCCCTGCCCTCGCACGCCCACCACGGTCACACTTGACTTGATTAATGCATCCCCCGACAATAACTCGAGACACGCCACCCCACGAGGCCTTTTGGCGGACACCGTCTACATCGATGTTTCGCTTCTTGTTCCTAACTGTTATTCTGCTAATATCGATCCGCCTCAGGCTCACCGACTTTACCAATGAGTTTGGGCGGTTGTTACTGGACGGGGGGAAGCTCCCCCGACTCATCAAGAACTACGGCGACTTGGGTTTCATCCTCTCGTCCGTGGAACGCAACCAGAGTCTCGGTTGGTAACTTCGTTTGTTTGTCATTTCCAAGTCATTTACTTTCGGAAAAAAATAAACGAACAAATGAAATACCGTATTTCAGGCGACGACTTCTCTTTGCGGGTGCGGGACCTCGCCCTGCCTCACCAGATCGCCGACATTCCGCCAGAATGGATGGACAGTCCCATCGACGCACGGAAGGTAAAACCTGCATTGAGAGACACAGTGAGAAATGGCGACGTATCAAAACTGAGCTGCTCTGATTTTGTCTCCGAAATCGTAGTGATCGCGATATATGACGTCTGTTTAACTTCTCACTTCTCACTTTTTGAGTATTGAAGAAAGTCCATCGCGCGACACCTTTCTGACCCTCCGTTGTCCTTGCAGCTGGACAAGGCCATGCTGGTCGACCCGCCCTCCGCCCACTACTGCATCAAGTCGGGCGAGACCGCGGCCAGGGAAGTGATCTGCAACGAGAACATGACATTCATCTGGGAGGACGTCAGCTCATCGGTGAGAGAGCCCCTCTTTTATTACATGTTCAGGATGAATGGTGGATGCGTTTAGGGTTTCCCATTACGACGGTTTCCCATTTACGACTCTCTTGCGCCTCCAGGCCGAGACCTACAGGCAGGAGAACATGGAGTCTGTCCTGCGACCCTCGGCGTGGCACAGGTTCCAGGTGGCGGTGCGCAGCATGGCCGACGACCTGGACACGATCGGTTTCGAGTGAGTTCCGCACAGCGCCCTCCCTCAGCCTGGCCAACTCGATTTCATTCTGTGTATTACACGGTCTCTTTATATGATTCTGCAGCAACGTCGACCCCAAGGCTCTGGTCATCCTGGACCACTTGCGGGGGCAGGGCGACGCGAACAACCCGCCGGAGCAGGGGTGGTGTGACCTGATGGAGGCGTTTGACGACTTCCGCATCCCGGAGAACGAGTTGTGAGCATCAGAGCGGTCGTGGAGGGTGGTGCGGTACGTGCGGACGCTCCTTGTTCACTCACGTTCACGTCGATGTTCGCTTCCCCTCCCCGCAGCACGCGCGCGATGCGCGGCGAGCAGCTGCAGTTCAAGTCCCGCTACAAGGCGGACCCCGAGGAGCCGGACGAGTGCCGGGCCATCTTCAACTCCACCGCCATCAAGAAGATCCCCGGCGTGGCCGCCGTCTGGAAGGTCATCAAGCCCTTCGTCAGGGGCAAGATCCTGTTCTCGCCCGACACGCCGGCCGTGCGCTCCGTCATGGAGAAGGTGAACAGGACGTTCAACGAGCTGCTCTTCCTGCCGGGCTTCGAAGCGGTGGACACGGACGCCTTCTTCGGCAGGATGGAGGAGGGCTTCTTCGTCAGGGTGAGCGAGATGAGGCGCAACGCGGCCTATCGGGCGTCGTCCCGTGTCGCGGAGTGGTTCCAGGTGACAGCAGCGGTGTTTGTTTCCAGGAGATGCCCAAGTCCGCGGAGGGGAAGTCGCTGTTCCGGGCCACGTTCAAGCACAACGTGTTCGCGCTGTCACCCGTGCTCCTGCGCAGGAGCGGCCAGCTCAGGAGGTGGGTGGTGCCGTTTCGTCGTGTCCCCGTCGCTTTCGACTTGAGAGACTCACTCACCTCCGTGTGCCACAGGTTGCAGGAGGTGGCCGGCAGGCCGCTGTCCAAGCCGCGGAGGGAGGGCGACCGGAACCACACCGCCGAGCAAGAGGACTCGATGGGCACCCTGTTCGACGAGGGCTTCCAGCTGTTGGGCCGCTTCCTCAAGGTCCGCTTGCCAAAAAATTAAACCATGACTTTTGTTGCAAATTTTCTGGTACAATGTGCAAGACAGTGAGCCTTGCTTCTGGTGTCCCTACAGTGCCTGGATCGGGACAAGATCGCGCCAGTGCCGCTGGAGGAGGCCGAGGAGGAGGCCGTGAAGCTCGCCCGCACCAACAACCTCTGGGCGCTGGTGGTGTTCGACGAGGCGGGCAACGACACCCTGACGCCCTTCGTCAAGTACAAGCTGCGGCTGAGCGTCGAGCGCGTGGACAGCACCATCGACATCATGGACCGCCGCAGCAACTACCGCTCCCGGGACATGCCCCTCTCGGACCTCAAGTACATGACGTACGGCTTCGCCTTCCTGCAGGACATGATCGACAGCGCCATCCTGGAGGTGCACACGGGCCGGGCGGGCCAGGCCAATCCGGGCCGCATACTCAAGCAGTACCCGTACCCGGAGTACATCTACGACCAGTGAGTACTGCTCCCGTCTCGCCTTGGCGACTCCCCCTGCGGACTCCGCTGTCATGGGCGTTGCGTGCTTCCAGGTTCATCAAGGCCATCTCCAACACGTTCCCCATGTTCATGGTGCTGGCCTGGGTGTTCACCTCCGCGCTGGTCGTCAAGAGCATCGTGTACGAGAAGGAGCAGCGCATCAAGGAGACTCTGGGCGTCATGGGGTTGAGCAACGGCGTGCACTGGGCCGGCTGGTTCATCGACACGTTCCTCGTCATGTTGACCAGCCTGACCTGTTTGTCGCTCATCCTGGTGGTGAGTCCGTAACTCACAAGTCACTGTCAAAGACTGTTGTCAATTTGCGCGGTAATCATAACGTCTGATTTTCGCTCTCGCTCCGCCTGCAGTACGGCAAGGTGATCGAGAGGGCGTCCCTGTCGGTGGTCTGGGTGTTCCTGCTGTCCTTCTCCGTGGCCACCATCTCGTTCAGCTTCCTGATCTCCGTGTTCTTCTCGCGCGCCAACGTGGCGGCTGCGGCGGCGGGGATCATCTACTTCGCCACCCACATGCCGTACCCGCTCATCCAGCGCTTCTCCGACATGATCCCCTACGGCGGCTTTGTCGGCGTGGTAAGTTCCGCTTGCACGCTCATGTGCCCCAAGGGGTACTTCACCTACCGAAAGTGACAGCAGTGAAGTACCTCGATGTGTCCTGCTCCGCTGACTCTTACCCCTCCACGCCCAGAGCCTCTTCTCCAACATCGCTTTCGGCCTCGGCGCCAACGTCTTCGCCTCCTACGAGCAGACGGGGGAGGGCGTGCACTGGCACAACATCAACCTGCCCGCCAACGCCGACGAGCTGGTCACCATCGGGCTGTGCATCACCATGCTCTGGGTGGACGCGCTGGTGTACGCCGTGCTCACGTGGTACATCGAGGCCGTGTTCCCGGGCCAGTACGGCATCCCAAAGCCCTACTACTTCTTCCTGCAGCGCTCCTACTGGTTCGGCAGCCTCGCCCAGGAGAGCATGAACGGACACCTACCGAACGGCGGGAGTGAGTACCGACCTCCTAAAACTCACTCTGCTGAAAACTGTGTTCTAGATTCTTTTTCTTGCGTTTTAAAGTGCATTGTGCTTGGCGCAAGAACAGTTGGAACCCAGACAAGTACAATTGACTTGTTTTGGTTCCTGTTGTTAATGTACCTCGTGCAACGTGCTTAAAAAGTTTGTAAGCCTTGAAGTTTTCTGGATGTGAAACTATAATGCCTTCCGTGGCTGGCAGTTGTGGCAAACAACATGGAGCCGGAGCCCGTTGGTGGCGTGGTGGGCGTGGCCATCGACAAGCTCAGCAAGGTGTTCGGCGGTAAGACGGCCGTCAACGGGTTGTCGCTCAACTTCTACCAAGACCAGATCACCTGCTTCCTCGGCCACAACGGAGCGGGCAAGACCACGACGATGTAAGTGGTCGATATATGTGTTCCCTTTCAGAAAGGTTTCTGTGTGAAGCAGCTTTCGACTGTTTCATCCATTAGATCCATGCTGACGGGCATGTACCCGCCCTCGTCCGGCACCGCGAGGATATACGGCAGGGACATCCGGCACGACATGGACTCCATCAGGAGCAGCATGGGGGTCTGTCCCCAGCACAACGTACTCTTCGACAGGTAAGGAGTACTTCTCGAAAGTACGCCCGTCTTTCTCCTTTACGAAACAACCAAGTGAAGCTAGCTTATGCTAGCTCTCAGAGCGCCTGATGGGTAGGCAACATCTCGCCTGAAGTGCATGCGTGCACCGCGGGTCGGCCTACCCTGAGTCTCACAGGCGCCGAGCTCGCGTAATTTCACGAATGTGTGGTGGAGAGAGTTCTTAGAGGGTATCTCCGGCTTTAGAGTATCAATTGGTGTTGGTCTCGGATGTATTACTGCGGCTGCTGCGACTATGTTTGGCGTATCGGTTCGGGTCTCGGGGATTCGTGGAACGAGTCAAGTACAAGCGGTCACCATGTGTGTAAGGTTTATTATCTTTCTTCTGTATGGGGACAGGGAGGGGGTCAGTGTTTCCAGAGTACAGAGCGGTAGCGAGTGCCCGTGAGCGGTATACGAGCGAGGGGGAGGGTGAGAGGAAGTGCGTGAAAGAGAGAGAGAGAGAGAAAGTGAGGGAGGTGGTCATCGAAGGTCAGAGAGATTGTAGCAACGGGGGTGACGGTGACTTGCATTATTCTATACTAACATTCCATACCACAAATGAATCAGCGAAACACGGAAGGACTTTCTGGACGATACATAACCTAACGCACCCAACCTCTAGTAGTAACTTTTACTAACTTACCCGGGGGTAAATGTGTTAGTGTTGCACCCCCTCCCCCCTCCCCCTCTCCTTTACCGCCTGCCTGTCTCACGATAACTCTTCCCCAGCCTTACCGTGGAGGAGCACCTGCTGTTCTTCGGCCGCATCAAGGGGGTGGAGCCGGAGGTGCTGCGCAGAGAGATCGACGGCATGCTCCACGACATGGGGCTGGAGGGCAAGAGGCACTCGCTCTCCAGGGACCTGTCGGGCGGCATGAAGCGCAAGCTCTCGGTGGGCATGGCCTTCGTGGGCGGCTCCACCACCGTGTTCCTGGACGAGCCCACCGCCGGTGTGGACCCCTTCTCGCGGAGGGCCATCTGGGAGCTGCTCATCAAGTACCGGAAAGGTGTGTTACGAAAGGAGTATCTAGAGACTGCCACTGCTGCTCTAGTGTGACCGGCGGGAGGGGTACTTCACCCTAAAACCCGAGCCTTCTCCAATTTTTTGTTCGTTTTTTCTTGATTTCTTCTGTCTGAATTTTTGTTATTATTTTCTTGGTTTTTTCTTTATTTTTCCTTGATTTTTCTTCGATTTTTTTTAAAATAATATTTCGTTTGAATGGTGTACATTGAGTACCTCTCGGACCCATGGCGTGCCCCGGTGTGACCATGTTCGCCCTGCCGCAGGCCGCACGGTAATCCTGACGACGCACTTTATGGACGAGGCGGACCTGCTCGGGGACCGGATCGCCATCATCAGCGGCGGACGCCTGGAGTGCTGCGGCTCGAGCGTGTTCCTCAAGGCGCGCTTCGGCAGCGGCTACTACCTCACCGTGGAGTGGCTGCCGCAGCAGAAGGAGGAGCAGGACCATTCGATCAGTGAGCACCCCCCCCCCCCCTACCTACTTTCGAAACTTAACCAGGGGGTGCAAGTGCACGGGAAAAAAGGATTAGCTTTATAGCTTAACTATAGCGAAATAGGGGATCACTAATTATTAAGTCAGGTGTGTAGCTAAAAATTTAGCTAAGTCGCAAAAGAGTTAGCCGGAGTTAGCTATCCCTCATTTTGCTATTGGTTAAGCTATACAGCCTATCTGTTTTTGTGTGTGTTTGCTCATGGCGTCTATCGTGTCCAGGGGCGTCCCGGCTGCGCCAGCTCGTGACGGGGACGGTGGCGAGCGCGCAGGCGGTGGAGGAGATGGCCTCCGAGTCCGTCTTCGTGCTCCCCGACCGACACGACGTGCCCGCCATCACCGCCCTCCTGGAGAAGATGGACGAGAACACGGAGGCGCTCGGCATCGAGTCGTACGGCATTTCCGACACCTCGCTCGAGGAGGTAGGAACGCTGAGCTCCAGAAAGAATACAGCGAATGACAAATTGTGACCCTTTTGACGTAACACTGTTATCGCTAATTTGTTTTGGCAGATTTTCCTCAAAGTGATCGAACAAAAGGAGCCCGTTGCGAACGGAAGTAAGTACTGTTCTGGTCAGTCGTACGACTGTTATATACACTTGAAACCCACATTCATGTACTATATTTTCACATCAAGTTTGTAGCTTTCGTCGTGTTGTGATGTCTCTGTGTTTTGCATCCTGTTGTTTATCTATGTATTGTAAGATACGTTTTGCTTTTGTCTGAATTTCCGTTCCGTTATTATTTTTCGGGAACAAAAAGCAAGCAGGCTAATCCAAAGCACTGCCGTGTCCTTGTCGCTGCAGTGTATTGCCTGCGCCCGACGCCCGACAAAATGTATCCAATCAGAATTTCATGACGAATCGCACTTTTCCAGCTGACGGAGAACACAGGATAGTCAAAGTGCAAGTCAATGGTGTTGTTTTGAACTGTGAGTCCAGCATGTTTTGTTTTGTTCTGCGCTTTGACCGTATGAGTTGGTGGTGTATTTGACAAAATCCTTTCTTTGGCCTCCTTTTTGCTGAGACTCCCCTTTGCTTTTTTCCCGCATGCTGACGGACCTTGTGCTCTTTGTTGTTGCAAATGACAAGTAAAAATCATCTAACATATATTTATTTTAAAAAGAAATGTACACCTTAGATCTTGGTCGCAGTTTTACTAACTGTACCGTGTGCCGGCTTTGACCATGAAATGGTGTGTCAGTAATTCTTGCTTTTCATTTCCTTTGTGAATTCAGTCATTCATGTCATTCCCCAAAGGTGGCGGTTATCCCCTGCTGTTGCATAGCGCCCCGGCCTGCTGGTGTGGTTGGGGCTGCACGGCTCAAAGCCCTCCCCCTTCCCTCCCCACCTGCCACTTGTGCTGATACGATGACCCTCCTTCCCGCAGACGAGGCCGTGGCCTCTAACGACGCCACCGGGCCGCCACTGCCCCTCCGCGACCAAGACGACCCTGCCTCCGCCCCCGCCGAGTACGTCGGCGGCCTCGCCCTCCTCCGGCAACAGTACCTCGCGCTCAGCCGGAAACGCTTTAACTATGTGCGGCGTGACCCCAAAGGACTCTTTACGCAGGTGAGCTATAAGCCGGCCTGCGCGGCAAAAATGAGATTAGCTATATGGTTCAACCACCTGATTACAAAAGAACTAATTATTTAGCCGTGTAGCGAAAACAATTGCAATTTTTAGCTATCGTTTAGCTACATAGCTAAATTTTTAGCTAATTTTTTTAGCAAACAGTTCTGTCAGTTTTTAACCGCGTCCATCCCGCAGCTTGTGCTCCCCGCGGTGTTCGTCGCGCTGTCGCTCACGTTCACCAGCTTCTACAACATCCCCACCACGATGCCCGAGCTCGTCCTCGAGCCCAAGCTGTACGGCGAACCGGTCGTGGGCTTCTGGCAGGTCCGGGACGAGGCGTCGGACCTCACTCAGAGGTGAGGGAGTGCGTGGCTGAGGACGACGCGCGCAACGCCGCCTGTTTACAAACGACATCCATAACTGAGCCTGCTCCCCCCGTGTCCGCAGCGCGCTGCACCTGCAGTCCATGCGGCGGGACGGCGTGGGGTCGGAGCTGGTGCCTTCGCGCCGGCGCCTGGCCTCCCCCGAGCTGCCCGTGCGCGTGCAGCGGCGCATGGAGCTGGCCAAGAGCATCGCCTCGGCAGACAACACCTGCGCCAACTCGCCGCCACAGATAGATGTGCGATCCAGTGCCCCGTCAGGTTCTCACTTTACAAAGATCATCATTTGTTCCCCGGTGTTGACGTTTGTCCTTCGCGTTTTCCACAGGGAGTTCCACAATCCCGTATGATTCTACCGGGCAAGGAGCTGTACTACAACGGGACTGGAGTCGAGCTGGAGCAGTGGATCGTGGACACGTACCCTGACTGCAAGCGAAACAGGTTTGCGAACAAACAAAATTACTCTAGCAGGGCGACTCAACCCATGTTGGCACCCTCGTTTAAAATAACTGATTTTCTCCCAGGTACGGAGGAGTGACCTACGGAGCCTCGTACCCGTGGTCCAGAGAGAGCAACCTGCCCATCGCCGGCTTCAACAACAAGCCCGACAATCTCAGGGTAAGCATGAACCGCTGTCGCTGACCTTCTCTCTGTCGCACAAGCCCCCGTCTCTATCGCCTTGCTCGGTCCACAGATCTGGTACGACAACAAAGGCCACGCAGCCTCGCCGTCCTACCTGAACGCCATGAACAACGTGGTGCTGCGCTCGCTGCTCCCAGAGGACAAGAAGAACGCTTCCCGTCAGTACGGGATCCTGACGTCCAACCACCCGCTGCCGCTCACCCCTGAGCAATACAAGGACAAGACCATGTGAGAAAAGAACTCGTCGCCACCGTGTAAGAGAGCTTCCATCTCAACTCCGTCTGATGTGACGCGTGCGTGCGTGTGTGTATGTGTGTCCAGGAACGAGGCGTTCATCGTGCTGTTCCACGCCGTGTCCGTCATCTTTGCCATGAGCTTCGTGCCAGCCTCCTTCGTCATCTTCCTGATCGAGGACCGCGTGGCGCAGTCCAAGCACTTGCAGCTGGTGTCCGGGCTGCGGCCCTTCGTGTACTGGCTGCAATCCTACACCTGGGACTTGGTGAGCTTTGCCGTATCCGAAACGATGGTGGTGCTGATCTTCATCGCCTTCCAAAGCGAGATGTACACCTCGGGAACAAACCTCTTCGCCCTCATCGTCCTCATCTTTTTCTACGGGTAAGATGCGGCACCAGATGTTGTCACGCGCTCGTTTTTATTTTATTCTCAAATTTGACAAAATCTGCCTCTACTCACCCAGCATGGCGTGCATTCCGCTACTGTACCTGCTCTCCTGGTTCTTCCACGTTCCGAGTCTTGCTTTCGTGGTGCTCTCATGCGGCAACCTCTTCATCGGCATGATCACCACCCTCACCGTCCTGGTGCTCGGCATGTTCGAAGAGTTGGTAGGTTTCTGGCACGACGCCGACAGTTTAGTGGTCCTTCAAACTGGCTAGTAACGATTTCGCTCGTTCACTTTTTGCAGGAGCTACAGCACATTAGAGACGTGCTAGAAGTGGTGTTCCTAGTATTCCCCCAGTACTGCCTTGGCCAGGGCCTCATGAACATGGCCACCAACTACATGAACGGTCAAATCCTCGCCAAGCAAGGTACGCCCCTACTGCAATTTCGCCGAGGAGGAGTTATCGGTTGTGTCGCTCTCTCCAGAATTGACCGTGAAGATTTGAAACTTTTCCATGGAAAAAATAGAAAATTGAAAAGTTTTCGGAAAACCTTCCGATCAGTTTTTAAAAATCTTTAAAAACTTGACCGAGAATACTTTCCTGGTAAATTAAAATAACTAGCCACCTCCGAGCGCCTGACACCAGCAGGGTAGGCCACCCGAGCACGTGGGAGCTGTGCGGGTCGGCCTACCCTGACAGGCGCTAGGGACCCCAGCCACCCAGCGACACATCTCAGGAGCCCCCAGATCGCCTCAGATCCTACATAACGGCATGTTCTCTGCTTCAGACATAATCTGGGACAAGTCGGTGCTGTCTTGGGCCGTGACGGGCAAGTTCCTGTTCACCCTGTTGGTGATCGGCGTGGTGCTGGTGGTGGCCGTGTTCCTCGCGGAGCAGAGCACGCACTGGTTCCACCGGGGCGGGAGCGACGCCGCGGCCAGCAGCGTGCCGAGGGAGGGTGACGTCCAGCGCGAGTTCATCCGTGTGGACAGCGGCCAGGCCGACGGCGACGTGCTCGTACTCAAGAGGCTCACCAAGGTAAGCCGCCTCGGGGACCCGCTATGGCCCCTCACCTAGCTCGCCTAGTCTCTTGCTCGCATTCACTCGCCGTTTGCCTCCCCGTTGCAGAGCTACGGACAGGGCCTGCCCCCGGCCGTGGACGGCGTCTCCTTCGGCGTGACGGCCGGCGAGTGCTTCGGCCTCCTCGGTCTGAACGGCGCGGGGAAGACGTCCATCTTCAAGATGCTGACGGGCGACACGAGCATCAGCGGGGGCGACGCGCTCGTCGCCGGCACCTCGGTGCGCGCCGACATGGACGGCGTGCGCAAGCTGGTGGGCTACTGCCCGCAGTTCGACGCGCTCATCCCGCTGCTCACCGTGCGCGAGCACCTCGACCTGTACTGCAGCCTGAGAGGCATGCGGCCCGAGCGCCGGCAGCGGGCGGTGGACCGCGCGCTCAGGCGGCTCAACCTCGGCTTCTACCAGGACAAGCAGGCCAAGTCGCTGTCGGGGGGCAACAAGCGCAAGCTGTCGACGGCCATCGCCCTGGTCGGCGACCCAGCCCTGCTGTACATGGTGAGAGCCCCCTCCTGGCCCTGCTGGTAGTCGCGACGTGTCTGACAGAGAATGACGGCCTCCTCTCCTCTGTTCGTGTCTCCCCGCAGGACGAGCCGACCACGAGCATGGACCCGGCCGCGCGTCGCTTCCTGTGGGACTGCGTGCGCGGCGTGGTGGCCTCGGGGCGCAGCGTGGTGCTCACATCGCACAGCATGGAGGAGTGCCAGGCGCTGTGCGGCAAGCTCACCATCATGGTCAACGGCCAGCTCACGTGTTTCGGCAGCCCGCAGCACCTCAAGAGCAAGTAAGTGGCCGGAGCACCGAGGTATACCACGTGGTGGGACACCCCAATATCGAAACAATATCTATCCCGATAATGAAATATCTAGATCCTGACACTGTCCTAATATTGATACGATATCGAATCTATATGAAAACGATATCGAAACTCGGAAATAAATCGATATCGTTTCCATGTATCATGACCCTGTACCAGGTGCGGGTGGAACTCTGACCTCTTCCTTCTCCACCCCCAGGTACGGGTCGGGCTACAGCGTGGTGGTGCGATGTCAGCCGAAGCGCGTCGTGGAGGTGCGCGAGCTGGTGCAGCGGCGGCTGGCGGGCAGCACCGTCGTCGAGGAGCACCTCAACCAGATCAAGTTCCACGTGCCGCCGGCTGCCGAGTCGAACCTGCGGCTCGTCACCATCTTCCGCACCATGGACCAGGCTCGCACGGAGAGTGGCGTTCTCGACTACTCGGTGTCACAGACCACCCTCGAAGATGTGAGTCGCGCCGCCCCCTTCCCCCCTCATCTACACGGATAGTAGTGCTCCCCTACCGGTTCTCAATGTCACCATTCGTTTTGTTTGCAGGTGTTCATGCGCTTCGCCCAGATGCAGAAGACTGAGGAAGTGGCCCCATCCGAAGCTGCGGATTGTCTGGACGTGCTCAAGAAATGCTTCGGTCCCTTAAGGAAACGCGAAAAAGAGGCAGCTATTCCGTAGGGTGAGGCTGAATAACCATTCCACACTGTTTGGAGGGCGACGGCCCGAACGAGATTATCTTTAGTTCGTACTATTTATTGTTCAGAGCGTTTTAAATGATTTTCTGTTGTTTTTTTCATTGTAAATACCTTGTTGTTGCACATAATCGACTTACAATTTCAGTATTTTTTTAATACCTCGCATTGGTACTAACACGAGTACAAAGCACAAAACCAGTTCTGCCTCTCAGAGTTGCTGTTATATTGTCTTAATCTGTGATTAATATAGTTATCACAAGCTGTGATTCTGTTCCTTGTGTACTATTTTGATACACACTCTGGCCAAAGTGAGCGATGTTCGTTGACCAATTTGATATTTGTGTGTAGTGTCTAACTACACAAAACAAGGTCGATTGTTTTCTGGGCTTAAACCTCTCATCTCCCCTGTGATCAATAGCCTAGAGCCGTTTCCTTCTTTTACGATACCAAAGGGTTTATATTAAAACAATGTGCAGAGTACCGTGCAAGCTCCTTAGTAGTTTGTGATATTTGTGAGTGTTTGCGTTTACCCAGACAGGGCCCAATCTCTTGTGCTGCACTAGCTTAAATAGGCCAAGCTAGAACTTTGTCTGCCTTTGTGATACTCGTATTTTATTACAAGTAATATGTCAATAATTTATTTTGTTGGGATGTGATGTACCTAGTTAGGTCTGTGATCAGATTTGTTGTACTTAGTAGAATGAAATTTTTCTATGTCATGTGTTTATGACAGCTCGCTGATTAAAGTTATTATTTTCTAATGAGTACGATTTTTGATCCAAAACTTGATCATTGTGAGGACGTCAGTGCCTTCTGATATCAGATCGGTGTAGTGGGTTCGTTATGTGGAATGAGAAACTAGAACGATTGAAGGGCAGTGTCTTTTATTA